CAGTTTCAGCAGCGGCTGAATCTGGACGCCAGTTCCGACTTACATACAGATTCAACTTAAGAACAAACCTACAGTCCCTATCTTGTACGTAACCTGGGGACTGCCTGTACACTATGGCTGCATCAGGAGTTCTTGAATAAGCTGAAAATCAAAAAGGAAAATCTTATAAGTGGAAACAGGAACAAATTACTAAGGATGATAACAAATAAACAGCCTATATGAACAAGAATAAGAAAGGCTAAGGCACAAAATGAATTACACCAAGGAAGGGACAAAAGGCTATTTAGAGAAAAGGTTCTATAACTACAGTAGGAGCAAGGAAAAGAACAGGGCCTCATGAAATTACCTTATGGAATGTAAAGAACTAACAAAGCAACCTCAGAATCATTAGAAATGATCTTTGTCAATTCATGGGGGAGGTAAGTTCCCAAAGAATTGGAGGACTGCGTTATCTTCAAAAAGGGAAACAAAGTGTACGTCTACACAGCAGGGCTGAAGCTGAAACAAGCTGCACAAGTTGAGCTATGTCAATTGCGTACCTTAAGTCGAAATAGCTTACTTCGGCTTTTGGTGCTGCCTACACAGCAGGAAGTCCAAGTTAGAGCACTCTTCCTCTGACTTCCCTTACTTCTTGCAAAATGAAGGCTACAGGAGTCAGACTAAGAAGTCCTCCAGTTTGACATTATTTTGACATTAGGTTGAAATAATTGCTTGTAGTGTAGACGTGGATTATGTTATTTCAGAATGTCAGTTATTCTAAAATAATGCTGCTGTGTAAACGTACCCAAAGAGTACCTGGGGAAATATAGGCCAGTCAGCCTAACTTCAGTACCTTGAAAGCTACTGGAACATATAATTAAATAATCCATTTGTAAAAGTACCAATAGCAGGGCTGGGTAAAACATGACCTGAGGGCCAGATCCAATCCACCAAGTAATCGGATCTGGCCTGTGGACCATCCTGCCGGGACCCACAGGCACACAGCTGCAGCAGTTTAAAGCGCAGCCCAGGTGGCTCTCTGCCCTGCAGGGAGAGGGAGGCTTCATGTGATCTCCCGGCCCCCAGCCAAATCCTCAGTTCCTATAGGCTGGAAACAACCAGCCAATAGAGGCTGAGAGATTGGCCTGGGGAATGGGGGCAGCACAACCCCCTTTTCCTTTCCAGAGGTGAGAGCCACGAGGAGGGAACAAGCCTGCAGTTTCAAGTGATCTGGGGCTGCAGCAATCAGGGATCCCAGCCTGTACTGGAGGTGCTGCAGGGCTGCTGGCTTAGATAAGCACCTCCCAATCAAAGCCTGCCTCTGGCACCCCCGTCCCTCCCGCATCCCAATTCCTTCCCCCAGGTCACCATCCAAACCCTCTGCACCCCCTGATCCAGGACACAGTGCCCTCCCAGACTGTGTACCTACTCCTAGAGCCCTTTCTCCAAGTCAGAATCTTCTCCTGCACCCATACTCCCTCCATGACCCTGCACCCCATTCCCCTGACCAGGTCATAACCCCCTCCTTCACCCAAACTCCTTCTCAGACCTCACATCGTCTTCTGCACCCCAGTCCCTTAACCCATGATGCCTTTCTGTACGCAACCTCCACTTGAGGCCCACCATCTCCTCCACAGAAAAGTGTGGCCCTTGATGACTTTCCAAAATCTTGGAGTGCCCTCCACCAAAAATTATTGCCCACCCTGACCTAGAGGATAACAGGGTAAGTAGTAATAGCCAACATGCATTTGTCTACAATAACTCATACCAAACCAACCTAATTTCCTTTCTTTGATAGGGTTACTGGCTTAGTGGACTATGGAGAAGCAGTAGATAACTTTAGTACAGCTTTTGAGTATCACACATGACATTTTCATATAGCAACTACAGAAATGTGGTCTAGATGAAATTATTACAGTAAAAGCTATGTTATCTGGCATGTGAATATCTGGAAAATTCAGTTAAACAATATTGCCCCCAGACATCAGACTCCCGTATCTTGGGGTACATGTACCTCATTCCTGTCTGTTCAGCTGGCTGGCTTGATGCCTCAAGCAGTTGTGCAGCTTCTGACAGCTGACACTGGCAGCCTCCATCATCCTTGGGCATGTCCTTCCCCCTCAGCCTGCCTTTTGCTGTCGGGAGCCAGCTCTGCTGGAGGGCTCCCAGACAGCTGGCCCATCTGTCTGCCTGCTGTGTAGGACAGCTCAGTGGCTTGGGGGGTAAAGGGAAAAGTCGCCAGGTGTTCTCAAGGGGAAGGAGTTGGTCATTGCTGTTTCCTCCAGGTAGGGGGCTGGGGCAGAGCAATAAGCTCAAGTACCTTGCACATTCGATTAACTGGCAACCTCCATTCCCCATGAGTGCCGTATAACAAAAGCTTTTACTGTATAAAGGTGGGAACACTCTGGTTGAAAACCCACACCTGAAGTCTAGTTATAAATGGTTCTCTTTCTAAATGGCAGAACATATGAAGTAGTACTATTCAATGTTTGTGTTTATGACTTAGGTAATAGAGTGCAAACTAAGCTTGGCATTAGCAGATTCAAAAGCATAAAGTGGTTGTAAACAATTTAAATAAAGCTATTAGAATTCAAAGTGATCTTGGTATTTTGGAGAATCAGTCTGCAATCAACAAAATGAAATTAAAAAAATTCAAAGTGCTAAATTTAGGAAGGAAAACATCAAGGAAGGCAGAAGTATTGCTGAACATTATCTGTATTATAGTGCATCATAATTTGAATATCAGTCAACATAAGATGCAGATGCAAAAAAGACTAAAATCATTGTGGGGGTGTAATAAACAGGAGTGTTGAAAGTAAAACACAGAAGGAAATTCCTTCATTTTAACAGGCACTGATGAGGCCTCAGTTGAAATACTGTATCCAGTTCTGGGTGCCACATTTTAGGGGAGATATGGATAAATTGGAGTCTAAAAGAGAAACAAAAATAATAAAAGGAGAAAAAATGACTAATGCAGAAATGTTAAATTAGTATGTTTAGACTTGAGGAAAGGGAGATTTGATAACAGTCTGCAAATATGTTAAGGGTAATCAAAGAGAACAGTGAACAAATGTTCTATGTCCACTGAAAATAAGACAAGAGGTACGTAGCTTAATATGAATAGAAGGAGACGTAGGCTAGATAGGACAGCTGTAAGCAGCATTAAGTACTGGAATAGGTTTCCAAGGGAAGTTGCGAAATCCCTATCTCTTCACTGAAAGATCACACAAAAACAGATCAGACAAACACCTGCCAGGGATGGTCGAGAAACACACGATCCTTTCTGCCTAAGCACAGGGAGAGACAGACTAGATGGCCTAGAGGTCTTTGCAGACCTATTTTATGATTCTATGATTTAACTCTGAAAGTACATTTCTTAGTGCTAGCTGCTCAACTTAAGTCCTGACCTTGGTTTTTCCACACAGATAAAGAAATAAGTTAACAGCAGGATCAGCTCCTAAACTGAACGTTACTAGGCTCAAAGTTGAAGCTAATTTTAAAAGTAGCAATAACACATTCTAAAAAATGAAAATCTATTTTTCTAATGCTAGAAGAAAGTGACACCAATTGCTAGAAATAAATTAAACATTTCTTGGCTAGGCTGTTATTTTATAACTTTGCATACATTTAAAGTTGTTTATATCCATACCTATTATTTAATAGAATATTTGAACATTTAATATCTCTGTGCAAGAAGTTCTTCTTATGGCAATAATCCAGTCCCTCCATCAACTGTCTCATAAATGATTTTATGTGATTTTCATTAAAATGAACCAAGCCGGATTCCAGGAGTCCCATCAAGTCATGATCCATATATTCAAAGACCAGGTAAAATGCACCTATAGAAAGAGAGGGGAAAATTACTAACTTTGTAATATCCCAAAATACTCTATTATTCTACATTTCAAACTATAGCCTTCACATACATTAGAGAGTTCATATTTTTGTAAGTTGTGGCTCTTCAAGAATATCCAGCTTATTTCCCATTTCTCAACTTCATTTAAACACAGCTAAAAATGTTACGTTATACTTTCCTATTACTTTTCCATGTGAGTAATTATCAGACACACATTATAAACAAAATCCTAAAGTAGAACCTCAAAATTATGAACACCTCGGGAATGGAGGTTGTTCATTACTTCTGGAGTTTTCATAACTGAACAAAACATTATGGCTCTTTCAAAAGTTTACAACTCAAATCCAGCTTTGAAACTTTATTATGCAGAAGAAAAAACACTGTTTTTCCTTTATATTTTTTAGTATTTTACATTTAACATTGTACTATATTTTCTTATTGAGGAGTATCAGAGGGGTAGCCGTGTTAGTCTGAATCTGCAAAAGCGACGAGGAGTCCTGTAGCACCTTATAGACTAACTGAAGTGTAGGAGCATAAGCTTTCGTGGGCAAAGACCCACTTCATCAGATGCATGTAGTGGAAATTTCCAGAGGCAGGAATAAATATGCAGGCCAGGATCAGGCTGGAGATGATGAGGTGATCCAATCAAGGAGGATGAGGCCCACTTCTAGCAGCTGATCTGGAGGGGTGAATTCCAAGGGAACAGAAGCTGCTTTTGTAGTTAGCAAGCCATTCACAGTCTTTGTTTAATCCAGAGTTGATTGTGTCAAACTTAAAGATGAACTGTAGCTCAGCAGTTTCTCTTTGAAGTCTGGTCCTGAAGTTTTTTTGCTGCAGGATGGCTACTTTTAGATCTGCAATTGTGTGTCCAGGAAAATTGAAGTGTTCCCCTACAGGTTTTTGTATGTTGCCATTCCTAATATCAGATTTGTGTCCATTGATTCTTTTACGTAGGGACTGTCCTGTTTGGCCGATGTATATAGCAGTGGGGCATTGTTGGCACATGATGGCATATATTATGTTGGTGGATGTGCAGGAGAATGTACCAGTGACAGTATGGCTGATCTGGTTAGGTCCTGTGATGGTGTTGCTGGTGTAAATATGTGGGCAGAGTTGGCACCGAGGTTTGTTGCAAGGATTGGTTCCTGAGTTCGAGTTATTATGGTGCGGTGTGTAGTTGCTGGTGAGAATATGCTTCAGGTTGGCGGGTTGTCTGTGGGCAAGGACCGGCCTACCTCCCAAGGCCTGTGAAAGCGAGGGATCATTGTCCAGGATGGGTTGAAGATCACTAATGATGCGTTGGAGAGGTTTTAGCTGGGGACTGTAGGTGATGGCCAGTGGTGCTCTGTTGGTTTCTTTCTTGGGCTTGTCCCGTAGCAGGAGGCTTCTGGGTTCACGTCTGGCTCTCTCAATCTGTCTCCTCACTTCCTCGTGTGGGTATCGCAGTTTACAGAATGCTTGTTGATTCTTATTGAGGAGGGGATTTCTGCTGCTGCCTGATTGTGTACATCTGACTCCAAAGGGTGATCAGTCAGTTCGTAACTCTGGGTTCACAACTCTGAGGTTCTACTATACAGAAGATACCTGGATAATGTTATGGTGGCTTCTCCTCATTTTAAGCAAAATGGCTTAAGCTAGATGAGTATTTCTTTACATGAACCTTGTGGTGAAATCCAAAAATGCTAGGATAGAGATGAACTTTCATCTTCAGATTTATTTTTCAACTTGCACTGTGGAACTGTGTCAGGAATGAGCCTATTACTCAGACTGGCAATGCTATTACACGTACCAGAACATGTCAGAAGCAGCTCTGCAGAGGTCCAGATTTCATGTCTGAAGTTAGTTCTCTCACACCTGGAGTGTGGCAGAATCTGGCCTTTTCTCATACTGAAAAGTATATATCATTCCACAAGTGATTCCATTAAAATCAATGGGACTGCTTGCGCAACGAGGTGCTATTCCTTGTGAACCTGATACTTTGAATGTTGAATGCATTTGCTCATTTGTGGCACTCAAGCTCAGGGAGGAAGGAAGAGGAGGATAGAGGGATGCTGGGGGAAGAGGCAGGGTGGCTGCAGAGCCTTCTGGCTGGGGGCCAGGAGGTAAATTAAATCACATAAGAATCAACTTATAACTAAAAAGCACAAATGATGGAGATTAAGACTTCCTTAAATCACCATTACAATTAGTGACACAAATCAATCTCCCTATTTGCAGCTGAGGCTCTGCACTGCTGCAAAACAGATACCAAGATCTCAAATCAGGCACCCAGAAAAGAGGAACAAACAATTTGTAAACACGTATGATAAGTTTAGGACAGAAACTCTGAAACAAAGGGAGGGATAGAATCCAACCATCTAGGGCAGCATTCAGCCACCTTAACCATAACACCCTCCTTTCTTATCCTGTGATCCCCTGCTTAAGTCATTTCACATCTTCCAACTTCCACAACAAAGGAAGCAGATAATCTTTCATTATACAGCCCTGAGCAGGTCTATGCTGTGCCCTGAATGAGGTAGGGGACCTATGGAAAAAACAGTTTTTAATTACATGATCACATACTATCATAATGCAAAGGCACAAGGGAAATGAATTAAGGTTTCACAGGCATTTCTGTCTCCAAGAGAGAAATCATTTCTCATACCTTGCACCTTCTTTCATATAATACACAACAACTGGTATATTTAACAAGCAAAAAAGCTTCTTTCAAGCCAAGACATTTCACATACTTCTTCAGGAAGGAGGAAAACCGACCACCATGTAAAGAAGTGTACGAAAGCTGCTTAATACACAGTCAACCTGGGGAACTCTTTGCCAGAGGAAGCTGAAGGCCAGGATTTTAACAGCTTTCAAAAAAAGAGCTGGATAAATTCATGGAGGATAGGACCATTAATGGCTATCATCCAGGACTAGCAGAAAGGGTGTCTCTAGCCTCTGTTTGCCAGAAGCTGGGAATAAGCACCAGGGAAAGGATCATTGTTCTGTTAATTCTCTCTCAGGTACCTGGCACTGACCACTATCTGAAGACCGAATACTGGGCTAGATAGACCACTCTTATGTTTACTATAGAAAAAGCACATCACAGGGTTTTTTTATTTATAAAATGAGGAAATCAAATTAGAGAAAAAAATTAATCTTGACTAGCCAAAGAAAATTGATAGCTGACACATTATTATTCCATCCAGATAGAGGAAGCCTCATTTCCGAGATATTTCTCTAAGAATGTCACCTGTAGTGGTGTGTAGTTTCCAATCACACCAGCCCTTCACTATGTCAACGATCCCTTAGGAAAAAGCAACGGGGAATGATGTTCTTCATTACGTAACCAGATCCATAATTCATGTACCTGTTATATGCTAGCCCACTCCCATTACCAGTACGAAGGGGAGCATGAAAGGGCTAATATAATGACCAGACTGCAAAAACACACTTTTCCTAATAACCCTCCAAACACCACACATTGACTGAGTTCTGCAGTTCGTAACAGACTTCACATTAGCCATGGAAAGCCTGGTTCAAGTTACTTACAATGGGAACAGAGTCACAGCTCTGCAGTGAAGTATTCTCTGATGATTGCATGACTTCTGTCAGAAAACCCTCACAAGCTTTCAGAAAGACTACAGAACTGTTTGACAGCTGGAAGAAAGTAACCAGTCATACAACCAAGTTCATAGGGACTTTGTTCTGTAAGTCAAAAATCAGAACTGAGAGGTAAAACCTTTTCAGGAATGAAGTCACTTACTACCTGTCTAAGTAGGAGCAGCAATAAGTCCACTGCCACCATGAAGTCAATATGTTTCAGGTTAACTTATTTTCTAAATGGAGCTTCCAGAAGTAAGGACTCTGTTAATCGGATCATCAAAATCTCTCAAACCCGGATTCACTCTCTTTGGGATATTACTGTGGGGCTCAACTATTTAATCTTAATTCATCTTGCATTTTAAGTGATTTAATGCAAAATCAGAATGCCTACTGGTTTCTAAATGCCTAGCATGATCATCATATATGATTCCTGAAAGCTAGTTAAGTCTTAGATAAGGAAAAATCCTAAAAGCTACGAATACTCCTAATGCAAGTAGACAGTAACCCTATAACATTACAGATTAGTAAAAACAAGAACCTATAATCCCATCATATGTCAAAATGCACAATGACAAATACAATGGTTTAACACTTGGTATGGACACTTTCTAACAGATGAAGGCTTCTAAAAACCATTTGAACTGAATTCCATGAAAAATGAAGACCATCATCTTTGAGCTGTGATGGAAACTCATAGCAGCAGAAGATAATTCAGGCAATATTTTACATTTTATGGCAACTGAATTAAAAAAACTCAATGAAGACCATAGTCTGACCCCCTCCTCTGCATTCTTCAAAAAAAGTGAAGTAAGTATATGAACCAAGAAGAGCAGTATTATAGCTGAGTTAGACATCTGAAAGTTATCTATTTAATTAAAGGGTTTTTGTGCTCTTAACAGCCCATCTGTTAGAAAATACAAAGATTGTTCAACCCCTACTATATGCACTAAGTAGAAAAACTGATTTGAAAATTCGGAGTGGCTACACCGGGGAGGAAATAGCATGCGTTTCAGGAGCTGGTTGAGTGAAAATGACTAAGGCAGCCTGACATGGGGATGTCAGAGCATGCAAATGCTTTTAGGCTAAATTTAGGTCACCCTAGCTAAATCACTAAGGGCTAACGAGACACACAGTTAACTCAATGTCAGTCAATGGAAGACTTCCTCTTTCAGCCCAATTACTGCCTCTAAACTAAGGGAGTGGATTTACTTCATCAATGGAAAAAGTTTTTCCATTGCTGTAGCGAGTCACTATATTACACCCTCATAACTATAATGTTGAAACTGCACCATTGCAGCACTTGTAGCATAGACCTACCCTTTAGACTGACACACAAGATCTCTATTTTCTCTGTAACCAAAGCTATAGACTGGTCTACTTGAGAAACTTAGGTCCACCTAA